ATAAGATAAAGATAGGCTTCGAAGGATCACAATAATCTTTCTCAATTCAATACAATCGGATTTCTTATAGTATAATCATAGCCAAAAACAAGACTTTCGATGATTAATCCAATGTTCCCTGATTTAACCATATTAGTTATCATAGTCTTAACCATTATTCATAATCTCCAATATAATAACAATCTGCTAATTATTAGGATAACTATAGTCATTTATCCCAAAAATTACATAAAGTTTTTACATCTATTTCAAAGCCAATCTGCACAGGTAGCATCACTTACTCCTCAAATTACATCTCCTAATTATCACCATTAACTATAAAATTCGAATCTTTAATATTCATACCAACAATCCTCAAGTATAACTAATCAAATTTATCTTAATAATGTGTACTAAGAGAGACAAGAAAAAGAACTCCATAGTCCCCCAACACAACTCCAATAACATTGACATATCCTACGGAATAATAGAAGTTCATATCAAATTTTGGATATCATCTTTACTTCAATAATTGTCTACTATATCTAACCTTGAGCTTTTAAACCTCTTTAATCTTTAATCCTACAAAATCGAGGGTCAAATGTAACTACTACAACTTAATTAGGCTTCTTAGATTTCATGTTTTAAATTTCTATAAGTTCATTTTCATAAATTGACCTTAATTTTCAATCAAAAGTTGTACATACAAGTCCGCTATTAACTCTATACTCAACCAAGAGACTTTTGATTGTTAATATTTTAGAGAGTCTAAATGTAGTAAACTAAACTCACAAGGAAATAAGATCACCTAATTATAATGTCCTCAATGACTATCTTATATAGGACCCTTCTAAACCCTTAATACTTCCAAGTAAATTTAATCAACTCTTCGTATTATTTTCAAACCAATATTTGTATCCTCAAGTACGTGGTTATGAAACAAACTTTGGTCCATTTAATAACCATAACCACAATTCCTATCGTTATTCTAAAATAGACTTTCATTCGATGTTACTTCACCGTATTCCTTCAATTGATCATATTTGAGAATTATACTATCTCATACTATCGTACTCACCCTAGAGGAAAATATAACACTCCCATGATCCATATCATAAAACTAAAACTACATTGATTCCTTAATTTCTATGACATTTAAGCAACTTACATAACTTTTCAAAACCTTATTATTCAAAAATTAGTCCATCTTAAAAACATCTAAGTAGACATTGCCTCCACGCATCTAAATTGGGTTTTCATATCTCCTTGATTTCTAAAAATATAAACAACATTAATAATAAAATAAAATAGTTAGAGTCGATAAGACATCAAATCATAGTCAAATTTTATACTGTTATCCATCAAAATACTTCAATCAATATAAGGGTTTCTCTAAATTAAAGCCTGAATAGTATGGAAACATGCTTCAGGATAAGTCCTTCAGAGTCTAAGAAGAAAATCATGACACTTTGATATCCAAGGAATAGCACAACTCATATTTTTTATCAACTTTGGAGAATATACTGATTTAATTCAGGTATTTCTAGTATGTGTGACCTATATGGTTAGAAAGATATACGAACTAAGATCCTAACCAAAAAAAAAAGGGGTACACAATTTGGACTTTCCAACAAAGAATTATGGTCCAATTAGTGAAAAATAGATTTCTTGACTGATGGTTCTGCTATACTTGTCCAACTCGAGTTTGGGTGGCTTTTATCATAAATCCTATCTCATACCCATCTCTAATATAGATAATATCACCAGCATAAAACATTCATGCCTCATATCATTTACAAATCAAAAGCCAAATTACCATCAGTCTCCTAGAATAGTCCATAACTACAGGATATTGAACTAGCATATCCATCCCAAAATTTTCGTCAACTCCTCTAAGGTAGCTAATCCATGAATTCGAACAAATAATTAATTCCTAACCTAACTAAACAATAAATCACACTTATCTTACAAACATATAACTTCAAACAAATTCAAGCCTAGAGTTTCTTCGGCCTCACCATATACTCCAGTGATAGTCCACAACCTACAGCTCCCATGTAAGACCTAATTCCAAGGCTCTGATACCAAACCTGTAATACCCAAAAATCCACCTTAGAAGACATTAATAGCTATAACCATTCATATCATGAGAGCAACTAACAAAATCCATAAATAAATAAAATTCTATTCATCATCTATAATAACTAAAGCATCATCCAAAATAAATATGTCAAAGCATGATAATTACATCCAAAAATTAAATATAATCTTACAGCGGAATAAATAAAACATTATCTTTAACATTGTCTCATAATTAACTTCCCCGTCTAGAACATAAAGGAAACAACTCTAAACATCCACCTTAGGATCCACGTTCCTATCAATTTGAGCTTCCCAATGTACTTGCTCATCAAATCCAAACTCTTCCTCTAAACCATCATTTGAAAAAAATGTTTATAGGGGGTGAGCACTAAGTTCTGTAAGAAAATCCTCCCAAGCTTGAACAAGGTTTGAAAATATATAAAACAGGTCGGTCTCATTTTATCAAAATATTATATATATAACTTTGAAATAAAATAGTGACAGTTCATCAGATCTCAAGTTTACGTAGTAGTAATAAATTAAATGAAAAAATAAAACTAACTTTCAGGCAACAAATCATTACCAACACTGTATCTCAGGTATATAGTAAGACTTTGTATGAATACACAAATTGAGAATATCCTGGCCCACACACATTCTCAATCCTCACAAAGATACACAACTTTAAGAAGGACGTATATCGACACATCGGCAGTGGCGAATCTAACCTAAGAATAGTATACTAGCCCTTAGTCTCGATACCTGTGAGTGAATCGTGGTTTGTTCCTCGTAAGGCACCACCCCCACTACGAGTGGTAGGGAACCTTCAAATCCATTCGGAGTAAGAAACGCATCTACCCACTCTACGATACCCAGTCAACGGTCACCCATGTTCATCAAAACATCCACACAAGAGATAAAATACCAACCAATTCACTAAATCACAGGTAAACCAAGAACCATAATTCCACAGGTATTTTTTCAACACAACAATTCAAGAAAATATATAAGAGATCATCAAGAAATATAATTTTATTTTTTGAACAAAACACTAGAGTTTTTAAATCAAGAACAATGGAATATTAAGGTAAAATCTATATTTCTTGAAAACTAGGGTTTCGATAACAAGAACGAGGGTTTTTATGGCTATCAAATGATAACTTCATTCAAGATATGATATGATTTGTAAGAAAATCAAGAAACAATGATTTCATAACATATACATACGATTTAGAATCAAAACATACATATATATTAACACTAACCTCAATGAACAAGTTTAGGAAGAAATCCCTATCTTTAATCCGATGTTTGAATTTAACTCTAGGGTGTTTGAATCAATCTCGAAGTGAGAATCCTCGCCGTGTCTCTTCTCTTTCTTGCTCTCAAGCTTTCTAGGGTTTTCTTGGATGAACAATTGCTAAACATAGGCCTAAATGTTGTTCCTTAGGTATTTATAATACGAAAAGTGGAGAAAACTCTCAACACAAATTGTCCAACTTCTGCCCAGTGTGTCCGGACGCATGTTTCTCCCGTCTGGACGCGTCTGACCCCTTGCTTCCAGATTAATTTTGACCTATTTAGAAGTCGATTAATAAATTTTTCGTGAAATACACTTTTGTACCCCTTGAAGTCTAGTTTTTGGTCTCCAAAAATCAGCTCCATTGGACATTAGAGTAAGAAGTTATAACCAAAATAATAAAGTAATGTCAAATTCCTTTCTACCAAAATCCTCTCCAAAATAGGTTATAACTATGGAACACTTCATAACCTCTAACACACCCCATATTACCTCTCCTAAGGTTTTTCAACCTTCCGAATTCGATGGAAACCTTATTTTGACCTAAAAATATTTACAAAATTACGTAGCCATACTTTTAAATCCAAGTAGCTCCAAAACTCAATAATTTTATAATCAATTTTTTAACTATGATTCTAAGTTTCTACTATCATTTTATTCATCTTAGGAGAACTCTTAAGATAATATTATCCTTCTTTAAATTTTTAATACGAGATCTTATATTATTGGGTGGCTGAGGGTCATCTGAGGGTGAAGTTGGTGAAGTCGAGACTGTGAAGTGAGGAGATTTTTAGCTTTAGGGTTATGTTGATGATTTTAATATTATTTTTATATACTTAGACTGGTCTCTGTTTTTTAGGCTTTTAGATTTTTCTTTTTCTTTTATATTTTTTGCTTTAGGGCTCGTCAGACTGAGGCTTTTCTTTTTCTTTTAAATGAGTTAAACGGGTTAAATGGGTCATTTTCATTTGAATTATCGTGTTGTGTTCGTGTAATTATCAGGTCATTTTCGGGTTAGGGTCAACACGAATAAATAAACGGGTTAAGCGTGTCAAATTCGGGTTATGCAGGTTGAACCAGAATACGACCCATTTTCCATTCATGTTGCGTGTTAGGTTATTTTCAGTTTCGTGTCAGGTTATAATCGAGTTTGAGTCAAAAAATTCGTGTCGCGTTTGAGTCGTGTTATCGTGTTGAGTCGAAAATTGCCACCCCTATGGTTTATTGATTGTGAAAATTGGAGCTGAGTCCTCGTGGATGGACTTATAATAACTTGAGTCCGTCAATGAAACTTATTTGGTGATAAGTCTGTTTTTTTTTTTACTAATAAGTACTTAAGTCCACTATTTTTTTAAATTTTAAAAATACCCTTCCTTGAAGGAGGTTAAATTAACTTCCTATCTTGGAAATGATTATCTCTTAATTCAATGTCAATTAAAATATATTAATAAAATCTCCATAAATTTAAAATTCAAAGTTCTCTCTCTCTCTCTCTTCCCCCGGCCACCTAGTGGCGACGTCGTCGACATCTCTATTTGTCTCTCTTTCCATCGCTTTTTCGCTGTCTTCTCTCTCCATTGGCAAAGCTATTTCATCAATGTCAAACTTCTCTCCTCAAAAACTCAATCCACCTCATACAATGTCTGCCACCACCATCGCGCATCACGGCTGGTTAAGAGGACTTTCTTCTCTTTGGACCTATCCAAAAAAATTTTCACAGTCTCAATCTCACCTTCGTCTCTCTAACAAGTCTAAAATTCCGAGCCTTCATCACTTCATTGCTCAAGTTACAATCACCGCCTCCGATATGCATTATGGCGACGTCATCGTCGTGTTTGCTATTTTTTGTGGTTATTGTTTTCTTGTTTATCCACAATCATGCCGATTATATGTTATATATTTTTTTAAATATTATTAATTTTTGGGCTTGAATATTTCATATTATTATATTTTTTTACTATGTTACTGTTCATGTTATTGTTTTTGTTGAGTATGTTATTATTCATGCTATTATAATTTTGAGCATGTTACTTTTTTGTTGAGTATGTTACTACTATTATTTTCCTAAATATTAATAGTTAATGTTATTATTATTATTATTTTTTTAAGTATTACTATTTTTTGTGTTTAAACAGTACTATTTTTTGTGTTTGAATTTGAGAGAGATAATTATTATTAAGGATGTTACTGTTTTTGTTAAGCATATTACTATTTTTGTTGAACATGTTAGTATTTTTATTGAATATGTTACTATTGTTATTTTTTTAAAATATTAATATTGAATGTTACTATTTTTTTATGTTTAAATGTTGCTATTTTTTGTATTTAAATGGTATTATTTTTTGTATCTAAATGATAACTTATATATATGAGAGAAAATTTTTTAATGTTAGTCAAACTCTTAATATTTAGGAGTTTTTAATTTTTAGTTTTACTTTATTTCTAAAGGGAATGAATAGTATGCTAAAACTGACAAAAAATGGACTTCATAACAAATAAGTTTTCTTGACGTACTTAAGTTCAAACAAGTCCATATAGGGGGACCGGCCTTCAAATTTTCCTTATTGATTTTTCTGTTTGAGGCCACTTTGTTAGTCCATGTGTGAGCCGGGGTTCCATGTGAGAATGGTGTGATATGTGAGCTTGCATACGACATGGGAATTTAAAGAATATCTAAGGTTGACTTACATGGTTGAGGGACCTTTTCGCTCTTTGTCAAGTGCTTTTGGGTTGGATGCCTCTAAATATCATATTGACAAAGAGGGTTTTTTTTTGTTGGGGGGAGGGAGGTGTCTTTATTCTTTTTGTGTGTGTTTTTGTTTTTTTGATTGTTTTACTTTTTATTTTTTTTTGTGGGTTTTTATTTATTTGTTTTTTTTTTTTTTGGGGGGGGGGGGGGGTTGTGGTTTTGGTTTAGGGTATTCATCTTCACTGAAAAAAGAAAAATGGTTCATTTCAGTGATGATTATATTTATCATTTGATTTTGTTTGCATATTTTCCTGTAATCAGGAAAGGAAGAACAAAATATCCAGTTTGACATCAAGAGTCACGGGTCTAGGATAGACACTGGTTCAATCACTTTAGTTGTGAATGCCTGTGCAAGCAGGGATCTACATGAGAATGTCGTGGGGGTATGTTTTGTGGCCCAAGATATTACCAACCAGAAGATCATCATGGACAAGTTTACCCGAATTGAAGGTGATTACAGAGCTATTGTACAGAACCCAAACCCATTGATTCCCCCAATATTTGGCACGGATGAATTTGGATGGTGCTCTGAGTGGAACTCAGCCATGACAAAGTTAACAGGTTGGCAACGGGAGGAGGTGATGGAGAAAATGCTTTTGGGGGAGGTTTTTGGGACTCATACAGCATGCTGCCGACTCAAGAATCAAGAGGCTTTTGTGAAACTTGGGATTGTACTAAACAATGCTATGACTGGTCAAGAATCGGAAAAGATGCCTTTTGGTTTCTATGCACAGAGTGGGAAGTACATAGAATGCCTGCTCTGTGTGAGCAAGAAATTAGATAGCGAAGGCGCAATCACTGGGGTCTTTTGCTTCTTACAACTTGCAAGTCAGGAGTTGCAACAAGCACTTCATTTTCAACGGCTGTCAGAGCAGTCAGCAGTGCAGAGATTGAAAGCATTAACTTACATACGGAGGCAGATCAGGAATCCTCTGTCTGGGATTATATTTTCTCGGAAGCAGTTGGAAGCAACCAACTTGGGAGAGGAACAGAACCAGCTTCTGCATACTAGTGCCCAGTGCCAGCGTCAGCTGAACAAAATTCTTGATGATACAGATCTTGATTGCATAAGTGACGGGTATGATAATTTTGAATGTATTTCAAATAATCCTTATATTATCGGTCAATGTTGAGCACCTTCATTTTTATGCAATTGTTAGAAAAACAAATAGTGAGGCGGCAAAAACCATTAGTGTGAAAGTTTCCTGTGATTACATTAAATGAACTCATATATTGTAGCAGATTAAGAGGTCTACTTTTTAATACTTAGCAAAGGTCAAATGTGGCTTCTTATGAGAAGTCTGTATATAAGGGAGTGGTGTTGAATAGAATTGCTGATTTTCTTAAAATTTTTGTCCCAAGAATCCAGTTCTATACCTCTTAATTCTTAGCTAAGGTGTTTAATCTAAGCAAAACTGTGTACTTAAAATTTAATTTAAGTGTTATTCAAGTGTAAGTAACATTCCCGGTATTATGGATCTAGCCCTTGAAAGTGGGTTATGTATGTCAGTTGGATTTGATTTTGAAATGAGTTTTGAGCTTCATAGTTTGAAATGAAGAGAGCTTAACATCTGTAATAATGACGTCTGTAAAGATCAGTTTTCTTGATTTAATTGGGTTTCTCTTGCTAGAAATGATTTTTTTCCCAATGTATCCCTTTTGTTCCCAGTAAAGTGAAAATTAGTGTACTATTTTACTGCATACTTGATTTAGGTACACCTAATCAGTCCAGTGTCCTTTAACTGTCATTGAATAGAGTGTTGCTGTTTTGTTGGATTTAGCGATATTGAGACTCAGTGGTCAAAACAATATTGATCTAGCAATCTCTGCTGATTATTTTAGACCTTCCCAATTCGTCATCTAAAATAAATAATTCACTGTAAAATGTCTGTGACATTACAGAAGATAGAAATCCCTGTGTATCAGTACATAAAAACAAAAAGAGAAATTAAAAAAAATGGAAGAGACATTAAAAAAGAAAAATGGAGCTGATATTCCCGTAATTATCCTGGCTTCCTTTAAATGAGGCTATGAATGGTCCAGATTTTAGATAAACTGTTCAATTCTACTAAGGAGGTTGAAAGCAATGTTCAAAAAGGAGCAGAAGTAAAATTATCTTGTTTAGTTCCTTTTGCTTATTTGTTTAGAACATAATCTGTTTATGGCCTCTTTTGTAACATTGACATCTTTTACCCAAACCTGGACAGGTACTTGGATTTGGAGATGGTGGAGTTTACGCTGCATGATGTATTGGTTGCATCCATTAGTCAAGTGATGATGATAAGCAATAGAAAGGGTATTCAACTAATTAATGATGTGGCGGAAAATATCATGTTTGAAACCTTGTATGGAGACAGCCTCAGGCTTCAACAAATCCTAGCTGATTTTTTGCTGATATCAGTGAATTTTACTCCAAATGGAAGCCGGCTCTGTGTTGCTGCTAGTTTGACCAAAGATCGTCTAGGAGAATTAGTTCAGCTTGCGCATATGGAATTCAGGTACCAACAAAACTGGGCTTTAAGGTTTTCTTAAAACTGTATAGGGCCTATTTATTAAACTAAGAATCCGATGATGGTGATTCATTACATAACCTATTTAGAATTTCATTTTTTGATAAGTAACCTTGTATTTACAGAAAAAAGATATATAACTATCATTAATCAAAAAAATTTGGGGAATTTTGTTCCAAATCAAGGGAGCAACTTCATTTTACATAAAAGAAAAATGTGACTTTTTAAAGTGAAAACCCAATAAATCAAAGGTAGTTAATAAAATACTAATTTTTTAGCTTAAAATAGTAATAATAAGGTCCGAGTGTATGTACTTCAGCCAGAGACCTAATTTTTTGTAGATATATATCTGTATTTAAATTAGTTTATAAATTGTGACAGGCCTCCTGAAAAATTATATACATCCTCTACGAGTCTATTTTTTTTGTGCATGTAGTAGTAGCATACTGTATTCAAAGATGTGAAGTATTCAGCCGCTCTAACAGCTAAAGCAGTTGGCCAAATCCTTAGGAAATGCAGTAGCAGGGGAAAAGGGAATTCATCAATTCCTAGTAATCAACAGCTCCTTTGAGAAGTAGACTGTGAAACTTCTATGTAGATGTAAACGATTTAAAGAAAGTTTTTGTTTTTACTTTTTGAATTGATGAGCTAGTTAATGTATAATTCTGTTGTTCACTTTTGGCCTTTCTGTATAGACAGTATATGTCCAAATCATTGCTTCTTGCATGCAGGATTACACACACAGGAGGTGGGGTACCGGAAGAGTTGTTGAGCCAGATGTTTGGAAACAATACAGATGCTTCTGAGGAGGGCATCAGCTTGTTTATCAGCAGAAAACTAGTGAAGCTCATGAATGGAGATGTTCAGTATCTGAGGGAGGCAGGCAAATCGACTTTCATCATATCTGTTGAGCTTGCTACGGCTAGTAAGCCCCCAACGTAATCATGATTCTCAATCTGTTCCGCTGTCAAGGAGGACTGGGAGTTTAATGCTTGTACCATCATAAACTATGGTTGCATGTTTTCTTTGGAACCTTTGTGTTGTAAATATTCAAAATGTTCTGTGTTTCTTTGACTATGTTCCGACAGCCGTTGGATTGGCATTGTTTGTTGCTTTCTGTTTTGAGCCATAAATATGCAAATTTCAATGAAATGCATCCCATATATATTTCTGTTTTGAGCGTTTGATAGTTGTTAAAAACTGAAAATTAAATTTCTACGGTATTGAATCGGTAACAAGAAATAGCTAGTTAAAAGGTTTACCTCAAATTTAAAAAGATTCTGAAACTCAGATTTTGCAATATATCATTGGAACAAATCAGCATTTTCTACTAGTATTTTTTAATTCTGCTAAACTATGATCCGAGAAAAAGATAGAAAAGAGAATTGATTGAAAACCACCAAGCATCAGCTTTGGTTTGGAGCACGCGTAGCTTAAGTGTTAAATATTAGTTGGGTCATGGATTTGAATAGGGGCGCTCATGATTGGTCAATCTAAATTAAAGAATGTCTAAAAGGTATGTCTTTTGGAGGTGTTCTTTATCATCTAAAATACATGTTTATTAAATATTAACAGAGATGTCTCTATAGGATGTGTGTTACCCCTTTAGCTTTTGACTCGGTGCTGGCATGGGCTAGTTTAGTCCAAAGGCGCCCATGCCTTAATCAAATTAGATTTCGCTTGAGGAAGTAAATCCTTGGTGCAATTAGTGGGTGATTGAAGTCTCATGCATGGTTGGGCATAGCAACTAATAATGCATGGGTACGTTGGGCATGATTAGTGGGCAATTGAACACTCATGCATGGCTGAGTGAGGTAGCTCATGCATGTACATGATTGGGGTGCATTCAGTGGATGTTTGAAGCCCCATGCATGGCTGGACGTAGTAGCTAATGCATGGGCACATGGACACAAGCAAGCATGTAAGCAAAAGATGACTCGATTTGTGGGACAATGCTAGCTTGGAAGACCAAGCCATGGGCTGAGCATGGCTAGACACGAAGGCAAGGTTAATTAGGTGTCGTGGGCTCGCAAAGAATGCAGATGCGGTGGTTCCGAACGGTTGTGACATGTGCCCTGCAAATGGTGACAGTTCCAGACAGTTATTAGCATGTGCACTCAGCATGCACAATAGTTGAGGGTTGTTGCTGGCTGAGTCAGCCAACAATTACAACTGCCCCTTACCATGACCAGCAGATGTGGGAGTGGACTTACCATCATCAACAAACTGTGGGTGGCTTTGTGGACAAATCTGAACTGCCATGCAATTGCCTAGGTGGTTGGGCTTGTAATTGCCAATCTGAATGTTATAAATAAACATGTTGGGGTTTATAGTGCACCAGAAGAGAGTTGGACACGTTTTTGTAAGTAGACCTTACACTGAGTTTCCTTTTGGCTTTATTTAGAAAGAAAAAGGTTGGACCATTGACCTGTAAAGCTTGTGTGTGCTGTGTGTTTGCTTACTGTCCCTATTATTTTCATTGTGTCCATTCTGTGAGTGATTGTGTGCATTTAATGAGACTGAGTGTAGGATCTCAGTGCTATCACGAGACAGAAATTTGAGTGAGAAATTGACCCCGTGACAATGTGTCTCAATGATACTTTGGTTGCCTATATAAACCCAAGACAATCCAATTCATAAGATATGGTTGATAATTCATCCTAACTTTAAAACTTTCTTACTCTTTTCTCTCTTTCCTTACATAACATTTGTAAAGTTTTTGTGTTGTGGAAAACCTTGTGTTGATTCGTTTTATGTAACAATACCATACTACTCGGGTAATTAAAGAAAAAACGTTGATTTGGACTCTAAAATATGTGAAATATACTTAAACGATATTTAGGATTAAAATGAATAAAATATGTCTTTGATCTTACACTTTTGCAATATATTTTACGATTCCCAACAGTAAGGAACTTACAACAAGAAGCGATGGCCTATGAATAAAATGTGTCTGGCTTCGGAACACTACAACATCAATTTTTACTTTTCAATATTATAATGAAAAGTGAATAAAAAATTCAAAAAAATGGTAAATTTCACCTGAAAAAGGTGAAAAACATGGCACAAAAATATAGTAAATAAACCGAAAGGGTGGTAAGTGAATCCAAAAAGTGAATCCACCCAAAAAGTCAGTAAATTTCACCTAAAATATAGTATAAGTACTAAAAAAAATAATGGAATATCGAAACTATTTTTAGTATCATAATTTTACTATACAAAAGTGGAGAGAATCTGGTTGTTAGCAAAGGCCTGGCCCAGCCTAGTCCACCGATGGACCGATTAAGGTGGGCTAGGCAGCCACGCTGTTGACTGACCTGTGAGTTTTGTCGCGTCAGTCATTCAATTAATTAAAAAAACAGCTTACAATCTTCTATGGAATTGTCCATAGGGATCGGTCTTAGGATTTTTTTTTTTAAATTTACCTATTTGTCAAAGATTTTAGTTCAGAGAGACCATTGAATTGGCAGCAAGAGAAAACAACAGCCACTGATACATTTGATAGACTATCACACTGTTCATGGCTGTCAAGCAGTGGCCCGTCAGGCTTGCGGGGCAGCAAGCCTTCCTCACTAATGGTGGAGGTTTAATTTGGACTGGTCAATCGAATTCAATCCAAGCCATAAATATTGGGATTTGAGTCTCAAGTTTTTAAGATCTAGCTGAATTACTAAATTCGTATTTTTCAATGTCTACATGGACTAGACAATTTAAGTTGAAGTTGGGATTGAAAATGAAGTTTAATTTAATTTGAATCTAAGAGCATACAACTCGGAATTGAATCAATTGAATTAAGCAAGTTCTCAAATTAAGTTGGGTTGAACTTAAATATCATAAGCCCAAACAAAACAAAAACTCAAACAAAATAAGTCTACACAAAACAAAAACCTAAATAATAAATTGATAATTGAGGACACTCCATCACTTAAAACATATTTGGGAATAAGTCATATTATAAACTTTTAGTAAGTAGTTAGGTTCACAATTGTATAATAACTCCAAAATACCCTTAATATGTCGTTGAAAGCAGCGTTCAACGTTAAGTTTGTTTCCTAATCGGGAAACACTTTACCCTTAATTCACGCTCAAATTTGTTGCCAAGATTTATCTATAAATATTTCCATAATTGATTTCTATATGTTTTGTATTTCAAACTTAGATATGCAATTAAAAATTTTTCTCGCTATCTTCTTTTCATCATCTCTCTTTGTTATCTATCTTAACCAATATTTTTTTATTAAAATTGAGACGAGAAAAGGCAACGTCATCATCGTTGGAGTCATCAGAACAAACAGAGTGATCTAGCCTAGACATAGTTTGTAGTATATATTGTATATATGGTGAGTAATCAGGGGGAGGGAATAGGAGATGAGTTGTTCGAGCAAATTTTAGCGGTGTCGTTTTCTTACAGTATAGGAATTGGAACCGATTCTCGTGGTTATGTTGCAAACGATGACAGTTTAGCTACAGCACCATCGGCGATGGTGTCATTGCAGTTGGATTTTAGTGGTGGAGATGGTGATAGTGCGTTCAGGAGAAGGGTCTTACCACCGCTAGGTTTGAACTTGGAGCGTCATCATCAGGATGGGGGATGATGGGTTCATCACTGCCAATAACCCTTCTTCCTCTTCTTCAACTAGAGTCAACGTCAGTTCTCTCTTTCTCTCATGGAAAAGGTTTAGGTAATGTTATGTATAGAACTAATTTGGAATGATGAATAGAACTTGGTTGAAAACTTAGGGTTCTGTGCTTCGAAATTCGCTTTGTAATAGCTTGATTTTATTTTATCGAGAAGTTCTTTATTTTCTGGATCTATGTCGTAGGGCTTGTTTTAGATTTCAGTTGGAAATTATAGATTCTTTTAAGAGTATTAGCGTATTATGTAAATACTAGACGGTATATACATATTTTATATGATTACAAAATAACTATAAATAAAAGTGGTTTGTGAGAGGTAGGTTAAGTTTTGACCTCTCTTCGTCTCTCTCTAATATTGTGTTAATTCTTTCAACTTAACATGGTATCAGAGCAATTACGATCTTAAATACAAATATTAACCCAATCTGCAGGTGCTACTGTCGAAGTCCCTGGTTTGGTGTGGTGTTACTGTTGAAGTCATCGGTGGTGGTGACATATCGTGGTGGTGGTGTTATGCTGTCAAATATTTCTTTGGTGGACATCTTTGGGTGGCCGTTGGTTAGGTGTGAGGCGTCGTCAACATCGGTGGCTTCTATGGAGATTGTGGTGGTGTGGCTGCTGGTCATCGACATCGGTGGTTTTTGTGGCAGTTGTGGTGGTGTGGTTGCTGGTTGGGTGTGAGGCGCCGTCAACATTGAAGGCATAAAGGTTTGGTTAAAACCCTAATTAGTGAAAAAGATGAGATCCAGATCCACAACCTGGTTGATTACGGGTTTCGGTAACAGGCCTAAGTCTATGGGCTTAAATTATTCTCAGATCAAGCAAGTCTAGATCTAGCCCAAGATCTAGTCCACTTCAAGTCCAGGTCCAGCCCACTTCAAGTCTAGGACCAACCCACTTTACACCAGACCGGTTCAATCTCGGTCCAAGCCTAGTTTAATCCCGATTTGATCCACTCTATGCTAGTTCAGACCCATTTTAGTAAGTTTGCACTAGCTCAATCCCAGTTCAGTTAGTTTTGCACCGGTTCAAACCGGTTTCATCAGTTTTTGCATCGGTTTAGCAAGCTCCACTTATTCGGTTCAATGAAATCCTCTTATCTGGTTCAGTAGTTCATCAACTGATCCTTGTTTGGTTCAGTGGTCTAGTGATTCCCTCTTGCTCAGTTTAGTTATCTTGCAAATCTTTTTGCTTGGTTACCGATCAGTAGCCACTACAGTAGTAAGGTTCTTTCTCCTGTTTACTATTTGCTATACTATTATGCAACCCAAGCAAGATGCTAGCTCCCTTGTTTGACCTTTGACACCTACCTCTGCTTCTCCGATTCTCCTTAATGGTCCCATGACTTCCTTTAAACACAATGAGACCAATTATACTTTATGGTTCCGATCTGCTCATGTCTTTCTTAGAGGTAAAGGATTTAAGAAATATTTGATGAATCCTAAACCCAAGGAAGATACTTATAGGTATGATCAATGAGAACAAGAGGATGCTCAGATTATCTATTTACTGTTAAATAGCATTTGAGTCTAGTATTAACTCTACTTTACTCTATCTTGACACTGCTAAAGAAATATAGGATCACTTGACCACTACGTATTCTGGTACATTAATTTTACCCGTGCTTATAAGGTGTGCAAACAGTATTTCTGCCTAAAGTAGGGTACTTTGAGTTTTGATGATTATTACTCTCACGTTTGGAGAGTTTCTGAGGAATTGAAACTCTACCACCTGTTCACTACTGATGCAACAGTTTGGCAGAAGTAACATGAGGATTTGAATGTTATTCGATTTCTGGTAGGTTTGAAACCAGAATATAAGTCTATTCACTCTCAGATTTTTGAGTGGCTCCAGTCTTCCCTCTCTACTTGAGGTTTTCTCTTGTTTATAGCATGTTACATTGTTTACTGGTTCTTCAGGCATTGATCATGGTGTTTCCACTGACTACTCAGCTCTTGTGCTTTCTAGTAGCCACAATGATGGTCATCGAGGTGAATGTGGTAATTGTAGTGGTCGTGGCAGTCGGGGAGGTCGTATTGAAGGCCATACTGGCATTCGTAGGGGTCATAGTGGATCTTATTCTGTATTCACTGAGGTCATGGAGGGCACACTGTTAATTTTTGTTGGGATTTACATGAAAAAACTTCTAGTGCTGCTAATCAGGTTTTCTATCAAGATAACACCTCAGTTATTTCTTCTTTACCTCGGTCAGCTCCACGAAACTCTGGGCCAGTTAATTTTACATGAGAGGAGTCTGCTTAGTTCCTATCCCAGCAATAGTCTATTCCATCTTCCTCCATTGCTACTTTTGCCCATTCAAGTATCACTTCCACTTTTGATTGTCCTCTACTCTTAGTCCCTGAATCATAAACTCTGTTGCGTTTGACCACATGACTGGTGCGTCTGATTTCTTTTCTACTTATTAGTCTGCAACTTCCACACATAGTGTTACTCTTGCTAATGGTACTTGTTCTAATATTTGAGGTTTGAGGACCACTCACTTGAGTCTTGATATGTCCTTATCCTCCGTGTTATTTGTTCCTCAGTTTTCTTTTAGTTTAATTTTCATTAGCAAGATTACCGGTTCCTTTAATTGTTCTGTAACCTTTTAGCCCTTTTATTGTGTGTTTCAGGATCTCAAGATGAAGAAGAAGATTGGTACGAGGCATGAAGCTGGTGGGATCTATTACTTTGACTATGATTCACCTACTCGGGCTCTACAGACTTCGTCATCCCCTTTCCAATGGAATTTTCATCTTGGACATCCTTCTTTGTAGAAGCTGAAGTGCCAAGTTTCAAGTCTTCATTATGTGTCGTCTATGTCTTGTGAAGCTTGTAAACTTAGTAAGCATCATCGTGTGTTCTTTCAATCTAGAGTCAATAATCGTGTCTAGTCCATTTGAGTTAGTACATTTTGATGTATGGGGTCCAATAAAGAAGATTTCATCTCAAAAATATCCTTATTTTATATCATTTATAGATGATTATTCTCGTGTGAGCTGGTTATTTCTTATGAAAGCTCATTCTGAATTATTCTCTACATTTGAGACCTTTCGTAAGGAAATAAAAATCTAGTATGACTATCGTATTTGTATTTTATATTTTGATAATGCTTGGAAATATGAATCTGATCCCTTTTTAGCTTATCTTCGTAAAATTGACATTATTCATCAGACTTCATGTGCTTACACCTCTCTGCAGAATAGTTTTGCTTAGCTCAAGAACCATCATTTGTTGGAAGTCACCCATGCATTGTTATTCAAGATTAATGTTTTCCGTTATTTTTGGAGTGATACTGTTCTTACTGCTTGTCATCTTATTAATCGTTTGCCATCTTTTGTATTAAATGGGCAAAGTTCATATTTTGTCATTTTCCCTGGTAAGTCCCTTTTTCCTTAACTCTTAATATTTTTGGGTGTGTTTGTTATGTTCACAACTTGAGCCCTGAGTTTGATAAACTTGACCCTGGGGCTACCAAATGTGTCTTTCTTAGATACTCTCGCACACAGAAGGGGTATCATTGCTATAGTCCTTTCCATCGTCGGTACTTCACTAGTGCTGATGTCACTTTTGATTAACATGTTCCATATTTTTCGGCACCTGCTTAGCCTTTGGATCTGGACTTTGGGTCGTCTCTTATACCACCGCCTCTTCCCTTATTGTTAGATATTCCGCTGCCTACTATGCTACTTTCTACTTCCCCACATCGTTTATACTCCTGTACTGCCTTCCTTGCCATCTCTTGATCCGAGTTCATTAGGTAATTTAGACTCTTTACCTATTGCTCTTTGAAAAGGTACTCGCTCGCGTGCTATACTTGTTATCTCATTGCTCATTTTTTTTTCATATAATGCCTTGACTCCAGTCTTCTCTTGTTTTACCTCTCAATTATCTACTATCTCTATTCCTAAGCACTTATAGGATCCGTTGACTGATCCCAGTTGGAGGAAAGCTATGGAGGTAAAGATGGATGTCTTACATCATAATGGGACATGACATCTTATTCCTTTACCTCCTTGTAAATGAACTATTGGTTGTCATTGGGTGTATATTGTTAAAATATAATTCAGATGATTTTGTGGAGCAACTCAAAGCCTGTGTTGTTGCTAAGGGGTTTACTCAAACCTATGATGTTGATTGTGAGGAGAATTTTTCTCCTGTTGCCAAAATCTCTTATATTCGTATATTGATTTCTTTGGATGCTAATCTTGATTCGTCCTTGTTTCAGTTAGATGTAAAGAATATCCTCCTACATGGTGACTTGATTGAAGAGGTCTACATGGAGCAGCCACTTGGGTTCAATGCTTAGGGGGAGTATTGTAAGCGTGTATGTCAATTAAAGAAATCTTTGTATAGTTTGAAGTAGTCACCGAGGGCATGTATTGGATAGTTCTCAGATATAATGTTAGAGTTTGGTATTCTTTGATGTCAGACAAGTCACTCTGTGTTTTATAGACAAACAGATGCTGTATATGTTCTATTGGTGGTTTATATAGATGATATTATGATTACTGAAAATGATTGTGAAAGGATTGCCAAGTTAGAACCTTTATGCAAGACCAATTTCATACTACGGGCTTGGAAAAACTCAAGTATTTCTTAGGTATTGAGGTAGTTATATCTAAATGGAGTATTTGTTTATCTCAAAGGAAATATGTACTTGACATGCTAGAGGAAGCAGGTTTGCTAGGTGACAGACCAATTGATGTTCGTATGGATCTAAGTCAAAAATTATTGATGGATGATGGTGCATTGTTTGAGAATTTGAGTTGGTATTGCAGGTTGGTTGGGAACTTCGATTATCTCACTATTACTCGACTATATATTTCCTATACAGTCAATTTATGGGATGCCCTATAGTACCACATTGAGAGACATTTACTCATATTTTACGATATCTCAAACATGCTCTTGCCCTTGGGCTATTATATCGAGCTAATGGACATCTTAGAGTGAA